CTTCTCATCAAAGAAGCTTCTTCAGCTCTGACTGGAATGTGGGGAATGGAAGGATTTATATTCCTTGCAGACAGTTGGTCATTTGCATTCTTTCAGAGAGTAGTTTATCTGTGTCGTCAAGATCACCTGAGTAGTGACCTTCTTGGAACTGTCGAAAGGACTGTGTTGTAGACTAGAGATAGATGATGTCATATCCCTCCCCCTCTATTGAGAGAGGGCTGTTCAGTTTTGACATAGATGACCTCTTTGATCTCTTTCAAACCAGTGGTCTTCTCTGTGCAAAATGTGGGTTTTGCTGCCTTTTAAAGAAGTGGTCTTTGTCTTTTAAATGCAGATGGACTGCTGAATCTTGTCCTGATGGATTTGTTCTCCTATGTTGTGCCATGTATTTATGAAGTGGTTGTTTTGTTTCCCCATGTACAGATCTGCATCATTTCATAAATTTCATCAAAGTCCACCTTTTGGACAGTCTACAACACAGTCCTTTCAACAGTTCCAAGAAGACTCCACACCTGTTTGCACTACTTAGGTGACCCTGACGACACAGATAAACCTCCAGGTGGCCTCAATGACTCTCTAAAAGAATGCAGATAACCAGCTGTCTGCAAGGAATATAAATCCTTTTATTCCCCACCCTCCAGTCAGAGCTGAAGAAGCTTCTTGGATGAGAAGCAAAACGTCTTCAAAGAAAAGGAAGTCCAGTTGCCTCATGAAAAAGCATCTTTGGTTATTGCTTCTATTATTTCTTGAACATGTTTGTGTGTTGCAGCAAATATATAACTTGAATAAAGGTAAAGATTTCCCCTTTCTAGTCTGACTGGAACAGGAAGGTGGTACTCATCTCTGTTTCTTAGCTGAGAGAGCCAACATTGTCTGAAGACATTTCCATGGTCGTGTGGCTGGCATAGCTATACACTGAGGTGCATGGAACACTGTTATCTTCCCACCAAAATGGAGACCAGGTAGTCCTCAACTTACAACCACAATTGAGCCCAAAATTTACGCTGTTAAGTGAGAAATTTGTTAAGTGAGTTTTGACCCATTTTATGACTTTTTTGCCACATTTGTTAAATGAATCACTGCATTTGTTAAATGCAGTTGCTAAATTAGTAACACGTTTGTTAACTGAATCTGGTTTCCCCATTGATTTTGCTTGTCAGAAGGTCGCAAAAGGGGATCACATGACTCTGGGACACTGCAACCATCATAAATGTGAGTCAGTTGTCAAGCAACCAAATGTAAATGACGTGACCCTGGGGATGCTACAATGGTTATAAGTGTGAGAAATGGTCATAAGTCACTTTTTTCAGGGACGTTGTAACTTCGAACAATCACTAAACGAACTGTTGTAAGTTGAGGACTACCTGTATCACTGGAGTACAGTTTGTCGAACCTTTTTGTCCCAGTTCTTTTGTTGTTACATTCTTCAGAATTTTGAAAACATTCTGAAGGAAACCATGAAGGAAGTGGCCAGTGTGGATAAAATTCATGTAGCTGGTCATGCATTAAAGAGTCTGCAGAATTGAAGTAGGCTCCTAGTAACTTCAGGGCCACCCCATTGTAAGCTTCTGGCAATACTGAAAAGATTTACCACTGCCATCGTTTGAGGGTTTTTTTTTAACATCCCAATATAGCTTATAACCCGCTTTCTTAGTTTTCTCCTGGCCAGGCCTAACTTCGCTTTTTGGAGATTAGTTAGTCAGTTAAGTGTTGCCACCTAGTTCAGCAGCCCCACGTTAGTCAGGTAAACACTGACCATGCTTAAATAATTTAAGAAAGGAATGGTAGATGAATTGTCCTAGTTTGTGAAATGGCAGAAGGAGAAATTTGTAAAAATAAAATCTGAGACATGCATGATGTAAGCAAAAGTAATTAGTGCTTACTGTTATTTAGTAACAATAACTAAGCAGTAGGAATATAACAATAGATTGTTATATTGAAGAACTGAAGAATGCTAGGATCAACAGTGAGGGAACAGAATAATGAAATCTGATAGTAGCAGGCACAATATTGCTTTCCTCTCCAGACAGAAGTAGAATATTAACTGTAAGAAACAAAATATGGCCAATTCCATAAAAGGCAAAGCTGTTATCGCTGCAGGAAGAGCAGAAAGCAGAAGCCCCGGCACAGCATGGCTGACAGCCTTGCCAATATCCACATTCCAGAAGAGGCTTTTTCTCCCTTTCAGAAATCTTTTTCAATACCATAATATGAAAACACCCAAAAAAAATTATGAGCGGCAGAGAACACAGCTGTCAAGCAAACTGCTTCTTGTCAATATTTGTCAAACAAGTCAAGCTTGCACAAAAATACCCTTCCCCCAAACTTCTGTGTAATCTACCGTGGAGTTACAGGGTGAGCTTGCAATGGAAGAAATCTCTCTGAAGCAATTTTGTAAAGGGGGGGGGGGAGCCAATCCAGAAGTGTCTATAGTCTGCAACAGGCTTGATAAACTTGGACAGAATGAAGAACTCCAAATTGCAGGAAATTATGCATGCTCACAAAATGAATAAATTTGAGCACGGAGCTTTCCATCTAACATTCTGGGAAATTGCTTCCAATATGAAACCACTAATTCTAGCCCAAATTTCTTTATATTTTACACACAGACACACACACACACACACACACACACAGAGAGAGAGAGAGAGAGAGAGAGAGAGAGAGAGAGAGAGAGAGAGAGAGAGAGACAGACAGACAGACAGACAGACAGACAGACATTTAATTTGGATGTTTTTTGTATTTACTAGGACACATCCTACAAAGCAGCAATAGCAGAAACAAACTCTATTCATTTAATTTATTTTGGAAGAATATTAGTAGTTTCCAAGATCCAGCTACATCTCCTCTGAAGGTTTTATTCTCAAGTTACAAGTAGTAATATAAGACAGTGATTTTGCTGACGGGCATGCAATGACATTTGATTAGCGGCACAAACCATCAAATGCTGCAATGAGCACGGATCACAAAGAACCCGCCAAATACTTCCCATTTAATGTCATTTGGACAAAGGTTAATTTTTATTTAATTTATTTAATGTCTCTTAAAATAAATTATTTTCTGTAGTGCGTAGCACAAATTTAACACAGAGACTAATAATACATTTAAAAAACCTCACGTATCGACTCAAAAGAATACAAATATCAAGATTAAAAGTACCATCAGGCACAAAAGTTAAAAGGCCTTAGCAGAACTAAAGCAACTATTACATTAAATAAGTATTTAAATAAGTAATTAAATACGTATTTAAAGTATTTAAACTGCACAACATTGTCTGGGAGACCAGAATAGTTATTAGGTGGCACTGAAAATTAGAAACATAAGAGAACATTCCAGGGGAAGAGAGCTTTTCAGAGACTGGAAACTCCCTCCCTTCCCAAAAATTTTGATTGCTACACTATTAGATTCAGAAATTAGGGAAACAATTGATTCATTAAGAGTTTCCAAGGGTGGATTGAAGGGATTGAATACTCATAATCTTAATCCCCAGGTAAAAAAAGGAATCCCTGAGGATATTACTCTGCTTGCCAATTACAGGGGGTGGTGCTCATCATTGTTTCAAAGCCATTGAGCCAGCGTTGTCTGAAGACATTTCCGCAGTTATGTGGCCAGCATGATATCACAGAGCGCTGTTACTTTCCCATCAAAGTGGTACCTATTTGCCTCTCGGGTATTTCCCCTGAACTGTATCCGAAGAGGGATGAGAGGGGAGGAGGAAGGGATGGAAGGAAGTAGGATGGGAGGAAGGGATGAGGGGAAAGAGGTGAAGAGAGGAGAGAGGGAGGAGGGAAGTAAGGAAGGAAGGTAGAGAGGGCGGATGCAGTCGGGGGGGGAGATGGACGAGCGACACCTAAGGTTATATGTATGAATTTATTTCAAAGGTATTTTTTATAATGTATTGAAAGTATTAAATGTATTGAAAAATGAAAAATAAAATTTTTTTCAAAAAAAAAGTGGTACCTATTTATCTACTTAAATTTGTATGCTTTTGAACTACCAGGTTGGCGGGAACTAGGGCGAGGACCTCTTCTTCAATCTCCTGGACCTCTTAAGATTTTCATGTACCCAAAAGTCATTCCCAAATTATAATGAGTGACAAAGAATTGTAAATTAAATCAAATGTAATCTGAATGAAAATTACATTTTCACTGTAACCCCCCAGCACACAACTCAAAGGCTAAATGTGAGCTTTGACCTCCCTAGATTGCATTCCTGTTTTAAGAACCATCCAAGCTATATAGCTGATTCTTCAGAGAAAGTTCAACTCTCTCTGGACAGATTCAGTCTTGTCATGTGATATAAAGTACTGACCTCTCCTTTAACTGGATTGAGCCTTAATTAAGCTGATCTAAGCATTCTACTGAAGTTGCCAAGCACTGGTCTTCCATCACCACAGTCTTATAACATTTTAAGTAGAACTAGAATACATTTCCACTTATTGATGACGACCCACACCAAAATCTCAAAACTTCTCAGTCAGCACTTACATGTAAGTATTTAATAACAAAAGGTAGTGAAGTTCCCCAGACAAGCATTTAGTAATAAATCCCGATCCCACACCTTTACGTTCAGACTAGTTAAAGTGTCTGAGACATAGAACATGAATGATAATAATCTTTATTGCAACTTGAAGCTACACTGAATTTCTTCTCATAGATATCTGATTAGCCACTTAATCTGATTCAAAATGGCTCTTAAGTTCTTTCATGTGAACAATCTACATGTAAATGTAATCTGTGGCATGGGGGTGGGATCATGTACGAGGTTATAAAGGCAAGATGGTAGACATGGCATTCTAATACAAGACACTTTTGTGCGGTGACCTTCATTGTTTTTGGCAACCACAATACAGATTTTTTGACATCCATGCAGATGATGCTGAATACAATTGTCAAAGACTAGTGGTTAAATCTGGAGAATTCACATAAAAATACTAAAACTTTAGCTTAGACATAACTGTTTTCAGCAGGTGGGAAAATGAAAAGCATTATATTACATACCCGCAATCTATCCATGTTATAGTACCGCAGCCTTTCACAGCTTGGGCTACATCAGATAATAACCTGAGCGAATTGTCAGCAGCCACCGCTGGGAGAAAGAAAGGAATATATTTACTTTACAAATCATAAGCATCTAGACACAACTTGGCAGAATTCTTCCATACAACATTTTGTCTTTTAACTGGGATTTTTAGAAAGCACTAGAAACTAACAAATATTTCCCAAATATAGCATGAATTTCACCCATAACCTTTTGCTACAGCTGGGATCTGAAACAGCTTTTGAACATGCTCAGCGAGACTTTTTTTCCTGCCTTTTTGAATAGGAGACCGTTTCATTTCACAAATTATTCCTGAAGTCATCTCAGAAGTACCTTGCCACTTGACAGAAAGTTTCTGTAGATAAACTACAAATCCCAAGCATTTTTAGTGCATAGAATTAATTGCATGGTTCTTCCAATCTTTCCTGTATATTTTGACACATCCAAGTTAAATGTATCTTTTTTACATCGAAGAACCATAAAGGTTTATTTATTGTTCATACTTTTCCCATTGCCGATTCATTTTGCTGTTTTGTCTGTAAAGATGTAAAAATATCTGCACTATATCCTACCAGAAGGTCCATGCCACCCAGTATTCTGTCCTTCAATCTGATATTTATGAGAACACGATTAGATATGCTCCATTGTAACTGAAACTTATTGTCTCTAAAACTGATGGCAATATCCATAACAATTGTTAATCTATGATAGCTTTACTCTCCCAGATAAGACTTCTCTCAGAAATATGCCCTGCTGGTTTCAGGTTGTACATCAGCTGATATCTTGAGGGAAAGATAGCTATTGTCACTGGTGAGTTGTTGAGGTCCTCTCCACAGATAAGCAGAAATGAGTTCCTCTTGCTGAAGTTGGGCCTTTAGGGATAATTGGGATTCCTTGCTGTGTAGTATCATCCCTACTTGAACTGTTAAATTATGTTGCTGGGTTGTTGGTGGAGTCCTTGGGGACTTTAATCGCCCCCCTTAGGACACTGAGTCTGGTATGTCTCAAAAATCCATCGTCTCCATGGCAACATAGACTTATCCCAAATAATTGAGGACCCAACACATGCTGAGGGTTGCACATTAGCTCTTGTTTTTATCTTGGGGCAGTTGCATTAGTCTACAGCCAAGGACAGATCACTCTTTGGCTGTCTTTCAGTTCACTTATGGTACTTGCCTGACAGGATCATCCACCTCGGGTGACTGAAGGAACTTGCTGGGTTTCAGAGGAAGTATTCATGTTTATCTTGGATGGGGTTGCACTTCCCCATTCACAACTGGTACACAACTTGGGGCTCTTCCTGGCTCAAAGAGTGGGTAGCAATTTTGGCCATTAGGGCCTTTGCACAGGTCCATGTTGCATTGCAGCTGCATTTCTTACTCAATCAGGAAGCTCTTCAGACAAGCACTCATGCCCTGGTCACCTCATGATAGGACTATTGCAATGACCTAACTATACATTGAGTTGCCCTTGAAGACCATCTGAAAGCTACAACTGGTTCAAAATGTAGCAGTGAGACCAGTAACAGGCCTTTCTCATTATGCCCATGTGTTGCTGCTGCTATGTAAGCTGCAATGGTTTGCTTCTGGATACAATTCGGGGTGATGACTGTTACTTCTAAGCCCTTAACTGCAGAGAACCTGGTTATCTGAAGGACTGACTAACTCTATTTGTTTCTGTCAACCTAGTACATTCAGAACAAGTTGGTATGTTCCAGATCTCCTCAATTAAAAACTGTTAACACTCCCTGTCCCGGGATTCTAGAAAGTCCTGAAAACCTAGCTCTTTTCCCAGACCTGGTGTTAATGGGTTTGTGGGGACCTCATTTTGTGTTTTTATCGTTGTGGCTGCTTATAGTTTGGGCTGTCTGTTTTATTTCATCTCTAATTGTTCTATCTATGTATTTGGAATTTGCAAGCCACCCAGAGGCTAGAGGAATAGGTACCACCAACACCACCACCACTTCTGCAATCCTTTTTACAATAATCCAATTATGATTACAAATTGTGGAAATATTTAAAATTTGTGCTTTTTCACATACTGTATTTGTGAATATGCAAACATGACTCTGGTCTCATTGGTTTCTTCTTTCATTTGTTTGGTTACATATAGATTTCAGCCTTGACAAGTGACCTTTGGAAAATAGGGCTTCATTGCTTTGTACTGCCCCCAATTCAGAGAAAAGTAGATTGAATCAAAGCTAAGATTAGAAATTTCCATAATTCTTTTTGGCAAGGTAGGGTTTCTTCCTGTCGTTGTGAGGAAAAAATATCAGCCAATACCTATCGTGAATGAGGGACCTGTATAACAGAAAACAGAACAGCAAAAGCACTAACTAAGAACCTATTTATCTAATGCTGTACCTGGCCCTTCTCAGCTGCCCAGTTCATAACTTTTGAGCTGGACAGCGTGCATGTTATTCTAATCTTATTCCTGACCTGTTGGACAGCTCCCTGAACTTTGTGGTCCTGGGGAAATCTGAGCCACATAGCATAGTGATGAGAAACAGAAACTAAGCAGACAAAAATTTCAAATATTAAACATTTCTATGGAAGAAAATAGCCCTCCAAAATGTTAAGTGTAATTACACAGTTTAAATAATCTCCTCCTGTAATGTTTCCTAAAATTGTATACTGTTGAATAATAACTACAGGCAAGCAAAGAAACAAATGATACAGTTCACAGATACTAAATATTCTTTATCTGAAATGAAAATTAAAGTGTAGGGGAACGAGACACACTTTGTCTAACTCTGTCTACAATCACAGCCAAGCCCACTTTGTAGACATATGACAACAGACCTGCTTAGCTCTAGAATCACAGCTCTATGCTAGAGGAGAATTCAGCATACTTCCAAAGAACTGGGAAGAAACTTCAGGTGTAATTATATAGATTGTCACATAAAGGTGGCAGATTACATGCAGGAAAAACTGAAGCTACAGTTTCAAAGGGCACACAAAGAGGTGGTTTGGCAAAGAGCCAGAAGAATGTTAATCATCACCTATTTGCTGCAAGTTTTCCTAGACATTGTATCTTCAAATTTCTGTATTAGATAATTTAGTTTTACACCACATAAAGAAAAAAACAATGATCTCAGCTAAGGGAATTTCCCTTACATAATTTGACAGGTTCACTGAAGTATTGTTGTTGTTAGTTGCGAAGTCGTGTCCGACCCATCGCGATGGACAATGTTCCTCCAGGCCTTCCTGTCCTCTACCATCTTCTGGAGTCCATTTAAGCTCACCACTTTGTGTAAAACAATTTCCATTTTTACACTCATTGGGAATAATATATTGGCCTTATAAACATTCTTAATTAATGTATTACTTATGACTCTTTTATCTTTGAAACTACCTGAAGACATTAGTTTATTTTTAAGTCATGTTTATGACTTTCTAGTTCATAGCATCCAGGAATTTAAAATTTTATTCCCAAATGAATGGACAAAAAAAACCTATCTACCTACAGTATATGGAAAACTAGAAATTATGCATTATTTCGTTCCAACTAATGTATTTATTAGAAAGTAAACTTGACAGGACATGGTGAATCAAATGTCGGCATAAGCATGCCTACAATTGTGTGATACATACTTTTTTCTAAAAGAGTATAAGCAACATTAAAGAAAACAATCTTCAAAAAATAACATATATCAAAAATGCATACAGCTTCTTCAGATACTATATGTTCACAACAATAAGAAAAGAAAAAAGTATCCCTCTTCCTTGCATTTGCAACCTTTTTGCCTACTATTGAAGTACCATAAAAACATAATATCCAGGATGAGTTATAGAGTTTTCAGAATACGTTTGAATGGGTTTTCTAGATATTATACATATTGGTTTTCTGTTGCTTTATTTTCTCTGCATTTATCCTGCGGTTGATATTTCATAGAACCAGCATAATTGTTTATAGTTCCTTGTGGAATTACATATAGCAAGATCTAAGGAGTCTTGGTGGGCCAGAAGACATTTCTAAGTTATACCTTTCCTTAAGAAATATTTCAAATGTTTCTATTTATCAAATTTAGGCACCTCTCATCTAAGCTTTTCTATTTGCACAATTTTATGCAATTTAATACATTGTTTGACGAGGTTTTACTTAGACGTTCAAATGAAGCAGGAAACGTATTTGTTCTACATACAAAACAAACAAGTGTAGCACTTCAGCTGAGCCACTCTGGACAGGCTATAGTTCAGCCAAACTGAATCCCCAAACAACTTCATTGTTGCATATTTTGGTCAAAACAAACTCCAAAGAGATTCTTGTGCAGCAAATAATGCAAGCTTGTCCCCTTTTTCCTCCTCCTCACTAACCACCCAACCTTGCCAAAGCCTTCCTTCCTCTTGGCCACAACATCTGGATTCAAGTATTGCATCATCCAGCCAGTCCATCTATCCCTTTCCCCAATCTTCCCAGCACCTTCCTTCCTTCCTTTATCTGCTGACACTGCATTTCAAGCATGGCATCTCCACCAGGCCACTTATCCACCCCACTGAACGTCCTAGAGTTTTTTCCCTATACTTTGTCTTAGCCATTGCTACTGACAACAGCTTTTCTATTCCGCACTGGCTCCCACTTTGGAAGATCTGTGCCAGGAAAACATGATATGATCTATATCCCAACTAAATTCCCAGGGTCTAGGAAAAGATCCTTCTCTGCTGTTGCCCCCACACAATGGGATATCCTTCCCCAAAAGGCCCCCACTCTCCTGGCCTTCTGAAAAGTGGTTAAAACATGGTTTTGTAGCCTTGCAAGGGAGGCACAAAGGAGTATGCCGTCATGGGGTTGGTTGATGCCATGAGATCCCTTCCCTTAAGTTAAAATTAAATTAACTTCAGTATTTTAACTTTAATTTTATATATTGTATTATATCCTGATATTGTACTGTACACCCCTCAGAGTCCCTTTTGAGGGAGATGGGTGGCCTAGAAATGTGAAATATACATACATACATACATACATACATACATACCTGAATATTTAATCTGGACAAGACCTCATTAAATTGGTATTTTATTCATGGAATGATCTATTCATAGTACACT